GTTATATAGGGATAATGGAAAAGAAAATGGAAGCTACTCTAGTATATTGGGGTAATATTGGGATAATGGAAAAGAAAATGGAAGCTATTATAGGACCCTAGCTGTGTAGATCTCACACTGGGGATGGCAATTTATTCTTCCCGGAGTCAAACATGGTGAGTCGCTGGGGCCCCAGAAAATTCCAACAAGAATTCGGAAATCAGCTTCCGACACTAATGAAAGGTCAGAGTCTTCAACTAGCTGTAGCGGCTGTTTCCTATACTCCCTATACCCATGCCTTCATCCCCCCCCAACCACCCCGACCCCCAAAAGGATCTAAAAATTAGATCCCCTAGAACCATATGGGAAATAATATAAGGATGATATAGGGGTTATAATGGGTCTATATAGGGGATCTAATTTTTAGATCCTCCCAGGGGTCTGGGCACACAGACTATTCTATCACCCACGATGGTGGGTTTTGTCAAGCCTTGAACGCAAAATCCCTCAGCGCCCCAAGCCCAAAGCTACCATCCTGAACTCTGGACGCCCAAAGCCCTATACCCCCTTCACCCTGAACGGCAAGACCTTGCACCCTAACTACTACTGTTATTCCTATTACTACTGCTATTGCTAAATTACTACTGCTATTACTATTAGAATACAATTACTATGACAATTACTATTACTACGACTATTACTCTTACTATTACTCTTACTATAACTCTTACTATCACTATTACTATAGAAGATCCAAGTCTCCACTGTCTCCAGCGGCTTGCACGTGTTCAAGTGCCCACTGAGAAGCTTCAAAGCCGACGGAGTGTTGAGCCCACGGAGGAGGGGCCATGCCACCTCTGGGGGGATTATAGTCCTCATATAGGATTATATTGGGGTTATATAGGACTATATAGGGGCTACATAGGGGTTATATAGGGGTTATATAGGGTTATATAGGGCATATATTGGGATTATAGTCCTCCTTGAGTAGGGTTTAGGGTTTAGGTTTAGGGTCCCCCTCAAGTAGATGGAATATGGGATATATGAGGATTTTATCATAATATACCGAAAGCCATATTCTATCCACTTAAGGGGGACTACAAGGTCTCTTCTGGGAGAGGTTGTACAGGGATTACATGCAGGCTTAGGAGGCTTTACAAAAGTTGGAGTCTATGCAAGTCAATATGTACGTATATATATGTATGCGTATACATACACGAGCTGATGGACGACCCAAACCAATGAAACACATGAATCTTATCAGTCCGTGAAACAGAATTCTGTTCACATAGGGGCTTCTTTGAGTGGGCCGCCCTGAAGGGTGTGTGTGTAGGGTTAGGATTGCTTCAAGCCCTTAAAGGTCAGGGTCAGTGTACAGGGTTTATTAAGCCACTCTTGAGGCTTTAAGGTTGAGGTTTGGGTATTGGAGTTTAGAGGGTTTTGGAGGGTTGGAATAGAGCCTGAAGTTATTTGACCTACCCAAAACCCAAACCCCCATTTCATGGCCTGGGGCTTTGGTGTGTTGAGCGTTTTAGTCTTAGGCTTCTAAGGCTGATCTGGACCCGGATGTCCTTCCTTCGTGGGAATTCTGTCCTCCAATTTGGTAGGTAAGGTATATCCCAAGAACGATCGGACATCCAGAATCCATGCACAGTATAGATGACCGTTCTAGAGTGTGGAAGTTGAAGTTCGGAAGTCGGGTTGAGGATATAAGGGCTTCAAAGGTAAACCCTAAACCCCAACATCGAAGTGAGCCGCGGGGTGGCCATTCATCTGCAACAAAAACACCGCTAACTCACAGCACCTCTTCTGTAGCAAGACCCATATGCCACACACTGTATTTCACCGTGGATTTTTGACTGCACCTCACCTGCAAATTTGCCAGGCACTGATCCGAGGAGCCTCCTGCTGAGGACAAGCCCCGGCTGATGGCCACTGCTGGCCAGTCCACAGTCTCACGTGTGACCTAGGCTGCTCTTGATCACCTTCAGTATTCAGCTACCCACGTACCCAGGACCTACTGCAGCTAGGAGCTTTGGTTTAGGGTTGTAGAAGTTCAAGCACTTTGTGTCCAGGAGTTCTACCAAGACTCAGGACTACAGCGGATACATACATGGGGGTTTCCAAAAAATTGGGATACCTTTTTGGGGGTCCCTATAACAAGGAATAATTTTAGTATATTGGGGTCTATATTGGGGTACCATACTTTTGGGAAGCTACCACATGAGTCTAAGCTAACAAAATGGAAAAGTGCCAGGTGCCTACGGTCTGTCGAGCGACTGTGGTCGAGAGTTGCCATATGGGCGCTGATGCCGCAATTGCACCGTCAACCACCTCGGAGTCCGGAGATTCAAAGCTGCCACTCATACGAATAGGGTTAAGGGTTTAGGGCTTTTGGCCAGAATACTGGTAGTAGTATCAATACCGTTACTGTTATTGTTATCCGAAGTAAGACTCTTACTTTTATCACTATTATCAAGGTCAAGGGCGTAGGATCTGAGCTCAGGGTTTAGGATGAGCCAGAGGAGCCGTATGGATACTGATACTCAAGGTGATGGTAAGAACACCAACTAACCCCCTCTAACAACTCCCCCCCACACCCCCAATAATGAAAAAAAACAGACGAGCACAATAGTACATCAGTGGGAATTCTCCTTGTTGGAGTGGGTGGGTTTGTTCTTTGGGGAGGTGATTATGCAGCAACGGGACGACTTCATGCCAATGCCGGGACCTATCTATGCAATTCATAGCTGTGTATGCAATATAAAATGATGTTGGCAATTATTCAGGCTTCTACATTACAAAATCCCGGGAAACCACTATGTCATGCATTCTATCAGTTTCCATCTCATGTCCAGCCTATTTTGCATTTGATTCTGCACTATTGGTAACCATCGAAGCTTCTACCCCAAACTCTATACACCCCATGCAAACCCGATAAACTCGCTTCTACCCCAAACCCTATATATCCCACATCATCTGTATAACTCCCTTGACAGGGACTCTTACCCGATAACCTCCCCAAACCCTAAACCCGAAGTAGTAGTTTCCATTTTATTTTCCATTATCCCCATGTAACCCCAATATATTCCCTGTAGTCCCCATAGGGATCTATAGGGTAAGCCCATGCCTCTGGGTACTTCATCCTCATCCATCCGGCCAGCATTCCTCCGTAGCTTCCCCCAAAAACGATCGCAGGCGGGCGCTGCGCTTGCTTCTCTCGCAGATGTGAAATTATGGTTGCGTAGTCCTCCAGCGCTTGGGCTGTTGTACAATAAGATACCTGCGTTGCAGTCTAAAGGCCTCGACTTAATCACGAGTAGGCCCCTCATACAACTAGAAAGGACAATTTGAAATTCTCTCCCACTTCCCACAGGGATGCGCATCTTGGACAGCCTCCATTGAACATGGGATGCGATTGAGGCTCACATCGGTGCTCTGCGAAAACTAGCAGGGCTCCCATCTTCTCGCCCAGCTGCCACATCAACCCAGTGTTGTTAACATACTCGCCTACCTTGGGTGTCCAGTATCCAAGGCTTTGCGAAGGCTAGAATTTTGGGTTATGATTGGTTCTTACCCAAAGCAGTAAAAGGCTGGCCGCTGGACAGGTAAGCTACCGGCGACTCATTCCCAGTATAGAAGAAAATTGGCCCAGGCGATACTCCTGAAGCGGCAAAGCCACTTTGCGGTGCCGCCCTCCACCACTTGTCGAAAAGACAATATCGTTGCAAAAAGCTACCTGGAGTGCTCCCAAAGTGATCAATTTTCTGATGGTATGTGTACCAAGTACAGTTGGCCGTTGAGGGCCGGGAAGCCTGGCTTTCTTGTCGCCACACTCCGAAGCTGCGTGGGGGATGTGGGACAGCAGTGTGAACACATGCAGCTTGCTGCAAAAGAAGCGGCAGGATTAGGCTGATGAGCATCGAGGACAGGGATTCTTTGCACGATATTTGGCACAGAAGCCGTGAATGGCCTGAGCCACAGGATTTCACCGAGAGTCGCGTGTGCGCCAAGACACCATTTGATCACAGACATGCCCAGTGAAGAAGCGATGATGATGCTTGCTGCATGCGTACCTTGCCAGGTCTCTCCTGTTGGCACGTCGCATTATGCTGCACACTGTAACGCTTAGGGTTCCTTTCGGACATCCTCCCTAATGGCGGGGGGACTAGGGGACCCCATCCTGGTGTCATGAAAAGGTCCATTTAGGGAAGCCTAAAACTACACGACTTCGTCTTCAGGGTCCGACAGGGAAGAGATGATCAGCTTCTGGAATCTAAGGTACCGCCCATATTGCTATTACCAGTGACTTATATTCTGAAGATCACTTCTCTTCGAGAAAGCTCTGACGATTTCTTGCACTTGTTGTGAACCCTTCTACTGTGAGAAGGACCCTCAACTACTGGCTTCCGAAGACCAAGCCTTCTTAAGGTCCCGTGTTTTGCGGGTGCCTTGTATGGATTCCTCTTAGGGCTAACTCAACTGATATAAGCCTTGAGCTTGTCCAACCCGCTGCTGGCTTTCTTGCTGCTGCTTCTCGCTGGGCTTGGGCTAGGCCTTGGCACAACTTCAGAGGTCCGCATTGCCAAAATAAACAGCAAGAAAAAGGGACCTTTGCAGACTGTTTCGGGTTTAGGGTTCAGGTTTTTCAGGGTTTGTGACCGTGCTTTCGAAAATACACAAGTACTATGACAACTGCGCTCAAGCATTACAGTGATCTCTGCTCACAACATCTTTTATGAAGTCCCACTATCCGCAAGGACTTCTTACAAGTCTCAAGCACCTCTTGCGATGTTGTGGCGCTGTTCATGTCGAAGATCGCACTCCCAATCGTCAGGGGATAAGTGGAAGGAAGTTTTGAGTAGTATTATATTTGGGGATATTAGGGTACCCAATATTACCCCAATAATGGAGAATCAAATGGAAAAGAAAATGGAAAATGAAATGGAAACTGGGATTATATATACTAACCAGGGGCCTCAAACCTAGAGTGGGGATTCCTGAAACCTCCTTGTAGCCCACATACGTCCCGAGAGCACCTCAGGAACATTCCTCCCTTGGAACACCCCATGTAGGGACGTGGCTAAGGCCGTAAAACCAGTAACCATCCCTTCCAACCTCCAAGAACGATCCTGCAAATTGAACTTTTCACAGGTTAATGTAAGCTAGAAGATGGCCCCCATCATCCCCCACACCCCTCGACCCCGATTCTATCGCAGCCCTAGCCTAAATCTGGTAGTTTCCCTAAATGGGGGCGACCCAAGTAATACAAACCCCAGATACTATAGTCCCTATTATGGGGACCCCTAAAGTGGAAGCCCTGATTCTGGGTCACCCAATTCCCAATTCCAAAGCCCTACTAGACCTCCCTGGCGAACAAGCTATGTAGGCCTGTATGGGATATAGGGATCATGTAGGAGTCATATGGGGGGTTATAAGGGGTTATATAGGCGTAATACAGGGGTATAGAGGTTGTGTTGTAGGGCTATATAGGGTAAAGAGGTTGTACCATGGTTTAAATTGCGGTGCAGCCTCTTGTTCTCAAACCCCCATCCACCGCCAAATGATAGGCTTCGTTTTGCAGGAAGCTCATAAGATCCACATAATGTTTGAGAGATCCTGAACCCTAATCCCTGCGCGACTCCTGTATATCTCCCATAACCACCATGAATCATGATGTCGTACGTTTAGGCCCTGACGAGCTAGGCGTCGGGACATTCAGCATCTCTGGATGGAGATCCTGCACTGGTGCCTCCGAAAGCAGCCCTTGTTCTGGTTTGTATGTGGGCCTGTGCTATGTACTCGTTGTCGGGGATGGAGTCTTTCAAGTTAGGCATAACCTTGAGATCAAGATCCTCGCGGTGGGGCGCGCGGGGCCCCAGAAAGGTACTGAAACTTTGGGAACACCCTATGAAGAATCAACCTGGTCAGCATGTGCACGGCCGCAGTAGTGATGCCCTGCAGTGACCGCGATGGGCACGGTGACACTGTAGCCAGAAAGCATCACCGTAAATACGCAAAAAACACAGGCCTCGTCGGCTCAACAAAACGAAAGTCTAGAATAGTACGTAATTGAAATTGTTGCGCTATGGCCGGCATTGTTCTTGGCACCGCTCTTTTTCGGATTTACTGCTGCCATCTGTTCTCACTTGCATCCGCGGTAAGCCTGCATATACCGGGCCACAGCAGCATTCACCTGCGTCAGCGGTAGTTGTTCTCGACCGTTGACTTCTTGTTTTTCGGGGTTTGAAGTTCCAGCCGTTGGCCTCAACTCAAGGCTTGCTGTTAGAGATGTGGCAAGATGCACAAGTTCGGGGTCGCTGAGGTGTTGTCTTAGACTTCTCTTTGCCTGTGCTGAGACGGGAGTTTCTCAAAGTTATGGATTATTTTCTTTTCTGTGGGAGGGGGGGGGGCAGGCATGCAGAGCGAGAAAGTTTCTGGGACACGAACCGTAAAACATTCTCCCTAGACCGACACTACCTGGAGCTAAGAATCACTAATAATGACGCTGACTGCGGCTTGTAGGGGATATAAGTTCCCTTACGAAGATTCCCTGATCCTTAACCCTAAGAATCCTAAACCTCAGACTTCCTAGGTCCCTAAACCTAAACCCTAAACCCCTACGTCCCTAAACCTTAAACTGCTGGACTCTCGGGCCTTCTGCTCCAACTTTCTTTTGGCTTCGGCTAGCAGCTGCTCGAAATCAGCTTGGCTGACCTGATAGGCTTTTCGATATTCTTACAAGCCCTAATTTACAAGCCAAGTTGTTATATTATCCCCCTATAATGGAGAATCAAATGGAAAAGACAATGGAAAATCAAATGGAAACATAGGGATTTAAGGAACTTAAATTAAGTTAGTATATTGGGGAGGCCTACACTACTGGGCTTGGGGTTCAGGATTCAGGATTGAATTTGAGGTTTGTGATTTAGAGGTCTTAGGGTTAAGAAATGTCTCTCCCCTGACAAGCACGGATAAGCTTTACACAGTTGCGTAGACAAAGTATAAGCTTCACCAAAGTCCGTGGTGTGAAACTCCTACACTATCTCGCTCCTCATCACGCTGCAAGGCAGCTCCCGAAAATGGGTCTCCATAGCTTTGCAGGCTATACAGGGTCCCCAAAACTGACAGCCTGTGCCTTCCAGATAAACCAGCCCCAACTCACCAACTCATAGTACCAACCCAACCAGTGATGGCAAGTCTTGCTTCCAGTATACAATGTCACTACATCTTGCTGGCGGGGTGATGGGTTTATCATGGGGGGTGGGGGACACTGTAACCCTGATAGTCACGAAATGTTGGTACTGCATTTTAGACTCACATCCCCATTTGGTCGTTGGGCTGAAGCTGAGAGTCTAATATCAGCCAACACCTGAAAATTCCAACTACTCTCTGCAAACCAAGATCACAGGCCCACCAAATTCCCAACATGTTCCAGAACTGCGTGACGCCTGGCAAAATCCTTGCAATCTTGATACGACCCCAATGAACACCCTCATAAACCCCTCAGAAACTCTGAGAAGCCCATCTAAAGGACGTATGAAGAATTGCCTGAAACACCAAAGAACCCCAGACTACGTTACGACAGCTGCACTGCATAAAACCCTGAGCCCCAAACCCCTAAAACCTGAACCCTAAACCTAGACCCTTAAACCCTACCCGCCCCTAGACCCGAAACCCCCAAACCTTATACCCCTACTAACCCTAAACCCCTAAACGGCCCTAAACCTGATAAAGGACTGCTTGAACCCTCTTACCCTGCATGCCTCAGGGTTTGAAGGTCGCCGGCTTGCAGGTGGGGGTGGTGCCTGACTCTTAGCCTGGCACATCACAGCATGACCTAATGTATTATTGGGTTTTATAGGGATAATGGAAAAGAAAATGGAAACTAGTATATTATAATAGACTATGGTGTATAGTATTCACAAAAAACTGGGCATCCCAATAATCCCGTTTAGGGGTGTGGGATTTAGGGTATAGTCTTCAAGACCATGACTGCTCAGGGATTCAGGGTTTCAGGGAGATTCCTAGCACGTCGAGAAACTGACAGTTTGTATCAAGCTTTTATTGTAAGGGTTTTAGAGGGGGATCAAAACGGGTGCATCTTTTTTGGTGTCACCTTCTAAGAGGGGATTCCTCCCTAAACCCTAAACCGCTCATCGTCTCTTTGTTGGATCCTTCCAGTGCAAGCGTAAAATCGGGGCAATGCTCGAGTTGCGCCTACAATTATACTAGGGTTATATTGGGGGTAATATAGGGAATAATGGAAAATAACATGGAAACTACTGTAGTATATTGGGGTTATACTGGTGATATACATATATATATAAATCCCCCAAAAACCTGTTTACAAAATGGTGAAACTACACGTGAAGCTCAAAGCTGAGGCGGCAAGCAATGCAAGCCAGACATTTACTTCTAGGGGTTTCTGCACCTTCCTTCGGCCTGACTGCATGTAGAGACTAAATCTATATGGGTTGCTGTTAATTAAACCTTGAAATACAAATTCCACGTGAAGTGGCCCAGGGGAAGTCTCAGCTGTGAGTTTCCACAATGGGCGTCTACACTCAGAATAGAAACCCATAGTCCTAAATAACTGTATATAAAGCCTATATAACCTAGATAACCCTATACAGGCCCATATAAATCTATAGCCAAACTCTTCAGGAACTGGCCTCAGGGTCCCATTCATGTCTTGTGCATCCAGCAGGCAGACCTGAATCCATCAGAAGGTTTCTCAGCCATATGATGTCCGTAGAATCCTGTTGTTGGGGGAAACCCCCTTGTTAGCAATGCTGTGCAAGTTGGTAGGATTTGGGAGCTTATTGTCAAGGAGCCACGAATTGAGGTAATCTTGGTGTTTTGGGCGCACCCAACATGTCCGGAAACCACACCTAAGGGCCCTTCGAAACTCCCTTCTCGGAATGGGAACGCATACGCTCACCAACCCCGCTCCCGTATCATCATCTGCAAAAAATATGTACATACAAACGTGCATGCATCAATGCATGCATGCATACATACATGCATTAATCGCATACATGAGAGAGTGTGTACATGTCGCGAAGTAAATGATGGTAATGCTTCCCCGTCGCGCCCGCCTGCTTTTTGTCTTTCTCGGCCCCGGAAAGGCATGTCTGAAATGCGGGGAACCCCTGTATAAAGGAAGAGCCCTGAGTCTAGGAATTCCATGAATTCACGGACATCCGGGACTTTCTGAACAATTATGGGCTCCTTTTGGGGGACCTTCTCAGAACTATCCCAGCAGCTTCAGCCAGGGTGCACTTGAATGGGCTTGGGCTGCGATTAGATGATGGCAAAGGCGAATCAACACCTCGTAGCATGTCCGGATCTGTATGGGGTTTGGCGTAGGGGCTACTAAGGGCTTAGTTTTGTGTACCAGGATTTCACTTTGCAGTTCGGGGGCAGGAAGTAGGCGTCGAACATAGCAAGCCTCAGACGATAGCATTTATTACTCGCCTGCAGGGAAACAATGACGGCATGCAGGCAATTCGCTAGCACCGCTCCCATATGAGCTGGAGTCTGAACTCCAAGCATCCCCCTTAATAACCCCTATGATACTCCCTTATATAATCCCCTATATAACCCTCCTTAAGAAGTTCAGACTATAGCTCATCTGCACCTGTGGCGACGGAAGGCATTAAATTCTTTATTGCAACCATCCAAGCAGTATTTCTATCGGCGTCAGGATTCTGACGTTCATGTTGCCAATATTTCCACTATCAATGCTGCTTTACGTACACAGCTTCTCAACGCATGCGGTGGCAGAATGTAATTTATGAATTTCATGCATTTTCAGCGCAAGCCATGGCACATAAGAACCCGACGGGTTTTGAGGGGGACCCACTATAGATCCCCAAAGATTATGTTCTGTATTATAGGTACTCCCAAAGAATGACCCCTAATTTAGGGAAACTCAACCTATGTAAGCCACTATACAGTCCAGTTTCCATTTCATGTTCAATTTTTTGTCTCATCTGATTCTCTATGTTTGTTGGGAATATCCTCAACCCTAAACGCTAAACAGCTGATTCCATTGTCTTTTCCATTCCTACATACTCCTATATGAACTCTCCCGAATTTAGGCAAACCGCCATAAGAGCTATAATCTAAACTCCTAGTATCCCCCTCAATAATCCCTATACTACTCTCCTATATAATATATCCCTCCCTCCCTAAACCCCAAACCCTAAACCTCAAACCCTAAACCCCCAAGGGCCCGACTGCCTTTGATGGTGCCATGCGTGAACCAACCTTCCTGGCATTCTTCACTAACAAGCGGATCGGCGTAATGGTCAAAAATAGACAGCCACATGGAAAATTACATCGAAACTGTGGTTATGTAGGGGTTATATAGGGATGTCCATTTTTTGCGAGAACGGAATGCTGGTTCAACATGAGGACCCTATTTAACTCATGTAAAGCCACTGTCCATCTCATGTTCCATGTTCTTTTTGAGCTGGTTCTCCATTGCTGAGTAATATCCTAAACCCCAAATAGTAGCTTAAATTTTGGTTTTCCATTCTCACTATCATAAACCCTGTATAACCCTTTATAACCGCTCATCGTGCACCAATGCACCATTTCCCACGGATTCACTTACCGGTGGTTAGCAGGCAACGGAGGGATCCATGCACAATCCCTTGTAGTAGCTGTGAACTCATCTCTGAAATCCCTACAAACGCAACGCCAGCCAGCTTAGCGTTTGCAGTCTGTGATTTATCAACATCTGCCCGAGGATCAGCTTTTCAAGAATCTTGGATCAGAGGTCTAAGATCAACAATCAAGGCCCTCCTGGAAGAGCAGGGTTCAGTGTCTATGTAGGGCGATACGCAAACGGAATGCTGAACGTATGCGTGTGGCAAGGGAGGAAGTTTTACTGCGTGAGGGCAAGGCTTACAATGATTTCGCTTTTTACGGGTTCAAAGAGCATAAAAGAGGGTCACATAGGGTTCTCCATCAGTGGGGGCTCCAATATATTGAACCCCTTATTATGGGGACCGCCAAAACGGGGACCTCTAGTAATTACACAAAAGGGGTTGTTAGAGGTCACTGTTCTGAGCTAAACCCTAAACCCTAAACTCTAAACCCTCTGAGAACCTACCATTGGAATATGCA